TGACATAAAGCAGAGAGAAAGATAAGTTGATCTACAGTTAACTTTCCTTTTAGTTTTTCCTTACCCATCAGTAAGTCAGAGGTAGAGAATGCTGGTAGAATGTATGTATATGAGGAAGAGAAGTAAGAACAGTTGAGTTAGTATTCTGCAGCATTTCTACTGTTCTAGTCAGAGCAAAATACATGTGCATGTATGAATACAAAATACAAATTGTGTGATTTTGATGATTCTACATTGGGTTAATGGCTTTTAAATTTGTGTTCAAGACTGGCATTGCACAATATAAAGACGAAGGGTAAGAATCCTGCTAATAACTTGAAATTTTATTTTTTCTTATTTAGAACAGAATTATAGTAACAAATATAAAAACTATGATAAGTTAAGAGAAAGACTGTGAAAGAAAGGAAAAAACTATTTTAGTACCTTTAACAGCATGTTATTTTCTGCTTTTTGAGTAAGAGATTCTGCATTTCATTTTGTTCTGGGCACTGCAAATTATATAGCTGGCCCTGGTTGCACCATAGCCGTTTGCTCCTTGACCTTGCTAAATCACCAAGAGGTGGGATTTGAGAAGAATGGAGGGGCAGGTGAGGTAGTGAGGCATCCTTCATCCTTCCCTGCAAAGCCCTAGGGATTCTTTTCTGTATTGCTTTAATAAAGGCCTTTCTTGCTTTTTTGTGAAATTATATTAATAATAGTAGCTTCTATTAGTTTTCCAACCAAAGAAAGGTCCCAGTATTATTCCTTATTTCTAATTTACTAAATACATCCTACCCTTTGTTAAACTCAAGTCATCTTTGCTATTGTTACTTTCTATAAGCAAGTTCAAATCATCCATGATTTGACACTGTGGATTACTTGCTTCTCTTCATTTTCTTTTTGTTTGTTTGTTTTTGAGATAGATTCTCTCTCTGTCACCTTGGCTGAAGTGCAGTGGCACAATCTTGGCTCACTGCAACCTCTGCCCCCTGGGTTGAAGCAATTCTCTTGCCTCAGCCTCCTGACTACCTGGGATTACAGGCCTGCACCATCACGCTTGGTTAATTTTTGCATTTTTAGTAGAGACGGAGTTTCACCATGTTGGCCAGGCTGGTCTCGAACTCCTGACTTCACGTGATTCACCTACTTCAGCCTCCCAAAGTGCTGGGATTACAGGTGTGAGCCACCACACCTGGCCATTTCTCTTCATTTTCTTTTCTCAGTTTGTATTCAACCGTCTAATTTCAAAACCATTTCCTTTTAATTACATTTTTAACCTCATAATTTAAGGTCACTAAAAGTATTTTACATATATCCTGCAAAGTTTGATCATTTTCTTCTCCCTTTTTTCTTATGTCCTGATTTCTTATTTATTCTTAGGTCCACAGACATGTAGGTAAGACCTAGGCCTTTGTAGATGTCCCGTTGATTACTTCTAAGGAAGAAAAGAAACATGTTGCTAGTGCCCTTTAAAGATCTCCCAAGAGGCTATAAGCAACTTGCCAAAATGTCAGTAATGTTTTACCTCTGCCTTCACCTCTACCTGTCATTCATCACCTCTAAGCAAATCTTTTGATCTTAGGAAAACCTCCACCTTGCCTTTTAAGTTTCTTTGATTTCTTACCTCACACTATCTAATCTCTGAAGTCTCAGTATCAAAAGTGGTGAGACCTAAACCCTGTTCTGACTTCTTTTATCTGTATCTTAAAGGAGCTTTAAAATTTCAAGACCGTCTTCATTCTGACCTCTGCATACATGCCCTACCCCATTGCTTCCTTGCCCTTAGCTTTTTAGGAATACCAAGCTTCCTGAATTTATTCAAATGTGCCTTGTGTTTCAGGCCTCCTCACTTTTTCTCTTGTTAGTCCTTCTGTCTAGAATATCCTTTATTATCTTCTTTACTTAAATAATTACTTTTCAAGCTTAAAGTGTCAGCTCAGGCATTACCTCCACTGCAAGTCTTTCCTGTTCCTTCATAAGACAAGTTAGGGTCCATCCAGTTAGGGCCCATATTACCATGGGTATCACTCTATGTCAACACATCGTATATTGTACTAAAAACATCTGTTCATGTGATTGCCTTCAGACCATACTATGATGTCCTTGAGGGCAGGGATGTATTTTTTTAATTTGCTGCATTGTATAGTCCTGGACACATAGCAGTATTCAACAGATGTATTTTTCCCTAAATTAAGACAAATTGAATTAGATGTGCTTTAATATAATATGTAATCTCTCTTCTGGACATTATTTATGTGGTCCTAGCCCAGAGAATATACAGACAGTTGATCCTTGAACAACGTGGGGTTTGTGCAGTTGAAACTCCCCTGAAACTACTATCAGCCCACCGTTGACCAAAAGCCTTATCGATAATATAAATAGGCAATTAATACATATTTTGTATGTTATATGTATTATATACTGTATGTAAGCTAGAGAAAACAATGTTAAGAAAATCATAAGGAAGAGAAAATGTGTTTACTATTAAATAAATGAAAGTGGATCAGCAGTGGTCTTCATTCTCATTGCCTTCACATTTGGTAGGCTGAGGAAGAGGAGGGGTTGGTCCTGTTATCTCAGGGGTGGCAGAGGCAGAGGGAAACCCATGTATAAGTGTACCAGCACAGTTCAAACCCATGTTGTTCAACGATGTGTGTGTTGTATAAATATATATGTGTATATAAATTATGTGCTCCAGCATTATTCGCTGGAGATTTTTTTTTTTTTTTTTGACAGAGTCTCACTTTGTAGCCCAGGCTGATGTGCAGTTGTGCGATCTTGGCTCACTGCAACCTCCACCTCCTGGGTTCAAGTGGTTCTTCTGCCTCAACCTCCTGAGTAACTGGGATTACAGGGCACCACTATGCCTGACTAATTTTTTGCATTTTTAATAGAGACAGGCTTTCACCATGTTGGCCAGGCTGGTCTCAAACTCCTGGCCTCAAGTGATCTACCCACCTAGGCCTCCCAAAGTGCTGGGATTACAAGCCTGAGCCACTGTGCTCGGCTAGAATTTTTAAAAAGTCATAGAATCTTAGAGTTAAAAAGAACCCCAGAGTATCCCACTCAATTTAGGAATCTCCTTTGCAAAATTTTGGCCACTTGTTATCCATTTTATTTAATAATTTAATTTCATCTTATTCTTTTAACCTGGATTAGGGGAAGGAGATGATGAGGAAGAGATAGTTTCACAGACCCTTTTACTCAAAGCCAGTTGCTAATATAAATTATCTTCTCCAGAAGCCTATTGTAATCAGGGATAAGTTGAGTCATAGGTAGTGGAAAAGTCATCAAAAACTTCTGCTATCCCTAGGTTTGGGCAATCCTTTCTGAAGAATTTCACAAGAAGATTCTACCAAATTTTCAGCAATTCAAAAGTTCTGTTATAAGCTCAGCTAAAGATAAGCCATTTAGAGAGTAGTTTTGAGTACTTTTCATGAGCTTTAGCTAGAATTTTGATTTCTTGGTACTTTTTGATTCATTTCATTCTTGGGAAAGCTGAGTGCATGGACTGTCATTTTCGTCAGTGTCTTGCGTCAGTTACAAGATTGATATCTATTCTTTTTACATTAGGACAAGAACATTGGATTCCAAGAAGCAACTTCCAGGTTTTTCAAGTTTTTCAGTATCAGTATTTCCTTATATATGGGTCCTACCTACCTTGCCATAGACTCACAGACATATGTAGGAGGTTAGCCCTCTGGTGGTGATGAAGGCCAGCCTTTGTAGTCAACTGGAGACTGGTCACTTGTCCACACGCCTAAGGGATCTGATCTGATGAACAGGGCCTACCCGAGGAACCTGACATGTGGGTTCTGTACTTTCTGCTGCCAGTTCTTTAAGAGGTTCAAGGATCTTTAACTTTGTCTCTGTACTAACTCCTTGTACTGCTGAAAATAGGCAATGCCTATCTAACTTTGCCAGCTAATTTTGAGGGTCAAAGGAAAAAATATGTGCAGAGTTAAAAGTGCCGTGGAAGTGAAAAAGTGTTGTGTTCACTCTTCTGTCCCTATTGGTAGCTGATTGCTGATCTCATTTTGCATCATAAACTGGGTGGCCCAGATTGGGTGGAGCAGATAGAAAGAAAGAGGTATCTAGCAAGAAGAAAAGATGGGCTTAACAGTGTTGACTTTTTTCTCTGTGTACTGATTGAGACCATTTCTTAATCAGAGAAAATCTGTTTGGGATCCAGAATGGTTTTCTCTGAAAAGATGAATTGCTAAATTACAAAACTAGGACAATGGGATGGAGAGACTTCTCACCCATGATTTGACCCTATGGATTACTTACTTCTCTTCATTTTCTTAAAAACCATAATTGCCCCGCAATGGATCATGGATCCCAGGCTGCTTCTGGACAGGTTCTATTGGGCCAACACTCAGTCTTACGTTCAGTACCCCTATTTGTGTCCTGTGGCATTGTGCCCAATGTAGCAACTAGAGTGATAAATGACTTCCTGCTCCTAAGGTCACCAAATAAGCAAATACTCCCCAGGGGTCATTAGATGGCTTTGTGTCCTTCTCCTAAATTGTTCCATCAGTGAGCCAGGATGGCGGAGGACTTGATTGTTTTTTATTTTATTTTTGATGCTCCTTCTAGGCTCCAGACTCACTGGAGACATCCTGACACATAATGCTTTGCCCAGCACAATGCGATGCCCTTTACCTAGTAAAAGGGTGAGTCCCATAAAGGTGCTGCCTTCCCCCCAGAACAAACAACGGAAATGCATCAGGAGAGCTCAGCTGCAGACAGAATGCACATCATGAAGCAGGAGCCACCCTGGGATTCCTCAGATGAAAGCCAATTTCAATGAACATTGTGTTTCAAAGCCTGCTTCCTCTTGCTCGGTAAGAGCTGCAGAAGGAACATCCCACTTGCGTCTGCTGACACAAAAGAATGCTGTGGCTGGGAGATCTTATCGAGCCTTCCTGTGCCACAGCAACAGAGCTCCAGTTGTGTCTTGTAAGAATTGGTCATTGTTTCATGGGGACGACTGGCTCCTTTGGGTGGGATCTGATGGCATCTCATGGAGTTGAGGTAGGTGGTGCTGGGAGGTCAGCCAGCCACATGACCTGGCTTGCTGGCTTCTCAGAAGTCAGATAGAAAAGCAAACTTCACCCAGTTTGCTGGATGCCGAATAGTTAAACATTTTAAGTTTAACCATTAAAATATGTATATTCTGTTTCCTTAATAATATCATCAACTGTACAAGTTAAGAACAAAAACTAGAAATGATGTCCAGGGTTTCTCTATTGGAATAAGCTGTTTATTGTTCTCTTTTAACCAACAGTTGCTTGATTCTGATGAAACTGAGAAAAATCAAGTAGTGTTTTGAAAAATATAAAGTTAATTATTTAAAACTATCTCTGGAGAATGTAGATGCTAATATGTAAACATTTTAGTGTTGATGACATAAGTCTCAAAAATATATATTTGCTTCATGAAGGTGAACCTTCAGTTTACAATCATCACATTTATATATAATAGTGTAAGTTAATAACCTCAACTTAATTAAATTTGGCTAATTCTAGATAATGTCTCCTTTTCCTAGAAAGTTTGTGGCCTCTTCTAGAGAGGGAAAATTGATGGTTACTTGTTCAGTTATATGCAGAGTAGAATTTGAATTTGGTTCTCTTTCCTCTTTGTCTTCCGAAAGGTCTACTGCAGTAATGAAAACATATGGAAATATATGTAACTGTCGGTAGACATGTCAAGGAAAAGGGGGGCCAGGAGTTTCCCAAAGGAACTTAAAAAAAATTTTAGATTGAGGGGGTACATGTGTAACTTTGTTACATGGTATATTGTGTGATGCTGAGGTTTGGGCTTCTATTCGAACCATCAGCCAAATAGTAAACACAGTATTCAATAGGTAGCTTTTAAAATCTTGCTTTGCTTCCTCACCCCTTCCCCCACTTTTGGAGTCCTCAGTGTCTGTTGTTTTCATCTTTATGTCCATGTGTACTCAATACTTAACTCCCACTTATAAGTGAGAATATGCAATATCTGATTTTCTGCTTCTGCACTAATTCACTTAGGATAATGACCTCCAGCTACATCCACATCTCCGCAAAGGACATGATTCCATTTATTTTTATGGCTGTATAGTATTCCATGGTGTATATGTATCATATTTTCTTTGTCCAGTCCACCATTAATGGACACCTAGGTTGATCCCATGTCTTTGCTCTTGTGACTAGCATTGTAATAAACATATGAGTGTAGGTGTATTTTGGTAGAATGATTTATTTTCCTTTGGGTATATATCCAGAATGGGATTGCTGGGTCAAATGGTAGTTCTATTTTTAGTTTAAAGAAATATTTTAAATCCCTCTTTCCCATATCTTCCTGTAGAATTTTCTAAAATGCTGTTTGTTCCATATATTCTGATATTCAGAAAAAAACAATTATTTTCCTTTAACTTTGTACAAGGTTCTGAGGATCAAGATATTACCAAAACACTATCTCTGTTCTAAATATACATTTTAAAATTATCACACATAGTTATGTGTAAATGTTTCTGCCCTCAGTGAACCGTGAGCAGCTTGAAAAAGGGAGCTAGACCATATTCATCTTCCTGTCTCCAGTGTTGACCACAATGTCCTGCACATAGAAGGCTTAGTGAATATTTATTGATGGACAGGTGGATGGATGGGTGAGCAGATGGATGAATAGATGGCCATGCTGTAGCCTAGCACATTTACAAGTAGGGATTTAATTCAGGCTGTCCACATGGTGCTTGGCATGACTACACCTGTTAATCCTCTGGGCATTTATTATCCCACTCCTTTTTGTTTGTTTGTTTGTTTGTTTTGAGGTGGGGTTTCGCTCTTGTTGCCCAGGCTGGAGTACAATGGCACTATCTCAGCTCACCGCAACCTCCGCCTCCTGGTTTCAAGCGATTCTTCCACCTCAGCCTCCTGAGTAGCTGGGATTACAGGCACGCGCCACCATGCCCAGCTAATTTCTTGTTGTTGTTGTTGCTGTTGTTGTTGTTGTTGTTGTTGTTGTTGAGATGTAGTCTTGTTCTGTCACCCATGCTGGAGTGCAATGGCGCGATCTCAGCTCACTGCAACCTCTGCCTCCCAGGTTCAAGCGATTCTTCCACCTCAGCCTCTCGAGTAGCTGGAATTATAGCTGGAATTTAGTAGAGACGGGGTTTCACTATGTTAGCCAGGCTGGTCTCGAACTCCTAATCTCGTGATCCGCCTGCCTCAGCCTCCCAAAGTGCTAGGATTACAGGCATGAGCCACCACTCCCACCCAAGGTTAAATTATTAATGAACAACATTCTGGTTAAGTACAGATCCATCATATGCATTTAGATGCATTGTAACTGAGCATGAAGAGAAACCAAAATCCAGGCCATCAGAAATAATGCATTAGGAACATTTCCTTACATCAGGAAGGTCTAGAGATAGAACCATTACATCAGCCTCACCATTAACTGGTGGGGAAAACAGCTCTTTGGAAAGGGTTTCCAAAGGTTGGACTTTGCATAAAACAGAGATTTTGGTAAGTGGAGTAGGGCTGGACAGCACCATCTCCGGAGGTTAGCCAGGAAACCTAGGAAGGGATGGGATGCCATCCACTGAATTTTGAGTGTGGCATCTTCTGAGGGAGTCATGGAATGACATCAGCCTGAATAACCATGAGTCATTCTTGTTCTTACCTTTCCTCAGCACCATCGGCATGTGAATTCAGCAGCCCCAGAGTTTCTCCTTTCACCCAGTTTTGTTCTAGCCCCGTTTGCTCTCATATTGCCCCAGATGAGCCAGGAGGGACAGACTGCTCCACAGGGTGCCTGAAAACCTCCAAATATGAGTCATGGAAAGCAACATCATGTAGTTGGCATTTGACTGAAAATCAAGAGATCTGGATGTTAACCACGAGCTGCCACTTAATTATAAGCTATGTGACTACGGATAAATCAAATTCTCTCTCTGAATCTCATTTCCTCAACTGTAAACTGAGGGAGTTGGACAAGATGATCTTGAAAATATCTGCATTCTCTTTAAAAATACAAACAAGTAGCCAGGCGTGCTGGTGGGCTCCTGTAATCCCAGCTACTCAGGAGGCTGAGGCAGGAGAATTGCTTGAACCCAGGAGGTGGAGGTTGCAGTGAGCTGAGATCGGGCCACTGCACTCCAGCCCAGGCAATAGAGTGAGACTCCGTCTCAAAAAATAATAATAATAAACATTAATAAATAAAAGAAATAAAAGAATTTAACCTTGTAAACTATTTTAGAATGAGCACATAACAGAATAGAGGAATCTCAAAATAATTATGCTGAGTGAAAGAACCCAGACCAAAAAAAAAAGAATAGTTAGATACAGTGTTATTCTGTTTATATAAAACTCAAGAAAACGCAAACTAACCTAGAGGAAGAAAAAGTACAGCAGTGGTTGTCTGGGGAGATGAGGAAGGAGTGGAAAGGACAGAGGAATAGAAAGGGGAACAAGCAAACTTTGGAGGGTGATGGATATGTTCACTGTCTTGATTAGGGGATCTGCATATGTCAAAATGTATTACACTGTACATTTTAAATATGTGCAGTTCATTGTATGTCAATTACACCTCAAAAAGCTCTTTTTCTTAAAGAATGCAAACCTTTTAACATTCAACTAAAATACTGTATTATTAAGGTTTCAATAAGAGAAACAAAAACACTAGGATGCCTGTGTGTGTGTATGTATGTATATTTATATAGTTCCGGGGATTTGACATTACATAATAGTGTGGTGTGGTTAAGATATGTCTGTAAAGCTGTTGTCTTCATATCCAATGCTGGAGCTTGAATTCCAATGACAGATTGTCAGGAAACGAAGACGGATATAAAGTGGGGAAGAACCAGAGCAGGCTGGAACCCCAGACACAGTGGGGGCTCACAAGGACAGACTGAAACTTGCATCAATTCTGAATGCCTCTAACCTTGGTTGTATAACATTCTTCAGAGGCAGAGGCCTTAATTATAGAGCTCAGTACAGGTGTGTACCTGGCTCAGGAGTTGGAGAAGCTTCAGGCGGATCCATCCAGGGGAAGGTGGAACAGTTGCAGGCCCAGCTGCTGTCTCACGCAAGAGGTGATCCAGCAGCGAAGAGACATATATAAGCTAGCAAATGACTGCTGCTTTACTCTCCTCTCCACATTTTGCCTGAGAATCTCTCCTGTGACCCAACCTAACCAGAAACACACAGAAAACGGAATTCTGGGAAACAGAGTTCAGTCTAGTTGGGTTCACTCTTTACAAAGCCATGCCTTGACAGCTTGGCCTCCTACTCATCTTAAATCAAACTTAATTTCCAGTTAAAGATAATAACAAAATCATGCCTGCCTCTAACATGATAACGTCTGTCCCAAGAACAACCAAAACACACTTTTCCCTAAGAGAGAATCCAGCATTCTTTTTTTTTATTTTGGGTGATATCCATTTTTCTTTTAACAGATTCACACCAGATTCTCACTTCTCTTTTGATATCCTACAACTTATATATTGAGATATTAAGTTAAATAGTATTAACACATTTTCTGTTAGATGATGAGGGAATGAGACAGAAGACAAATACAAAATAATTTGTTAAAGAAATACATATACATATATTGACATGTATGTTTGCATATAGTCATATAAAAATAAAGAAGAAATACTCATAACTAGTACAGTACTTGTATCTGTCACTGGTCACGTGGCCATAGCTGGTATTTAGAATTATATTCTTCCACTACCTATTTCATGTTCCCTTTGTTCTCAGTACTTTAATTGGTCATGGGTTCTTGACTGGTGGTATAAACCAAATCTTTGTTCCTGAATGTTCTAGGCCATTAGCCGTCTTGCTAAGTTGAACTGATGTAGTTTTCTATTCACTTTAGTCACAGGATATGGTAGTACTAAGAGGAAACCTAGAACTTTAACTTTTGAGCCATGTTCCTCCTGATTCTCTGTGTAGAAGCAGCCTAGATTCGATCACTGCCTTCTTTGCTTGTTGATTCAATGGCATGAGTCAAAGTGGTCAGGTGGCACTCCAGATCAACTGAGTCATCATATGTCCCCTGGCAGAAGTACTCCTCCTTTTGGAACTAAGACCTCTTTGCCACCCGAGCCTGATGTCACAGGGACGGGAAGCAATAGTTTGTTAGTGAATTGCTAGGGATAATAGTGAGAGGATCCTGTCCTATTTCCACCCCTTGATCCCCATATGCATGAGTTCTGGCTAAGGAAGAAACAGAAATACATGTTGGATGCTGATCTAGAGCATACTTTGAACTCTAAAGGACCACACATGAGTCTCAAAAGGACATTCCACCATTCTATCAAGCCAGTTACTTCAGGGTGACAGGGTAAGATCAGTGGGTTGCATGAGTCCATTGCTGTACCTCATTTACTGTGACACAAATTCCTTGATCAAAAGTGATGCTGTGTGAAATACCATGATAGTGAATAAGTTATTCTGTGCATGGTTTTTGTAGTGGTTTTAGCAGGAGCATGTGGGCAGGGAAGTCAAATGCATATCCACAACAAGTGTCTATTCCAGTAAGAGCCAAATACTGCCACTTCCATGAGGGAAGTGATCTAATGTAATCAGCCTAGTAGCTGGGAATGGTGCCATGTCAGGGGCTCACTGTCAATCTCTGCTGTTAACAGATTAGGCACTCAGTGGTGGCTATAGCTAGATAGGCCTTGGTAAGTAGAACTTCATGTTGATGAACCCATGCATAACTGCCATTTTCTGCCACCTTTGCCTTTTTTTTTTTTTTCATTTTCTAGTTGGGTAATGACAGGAGTTGGTTGGGAAGAAAGGTGACGAATGTCCACAGAATGGCTCATTCTATTCACCTGATTAATAAAATCCTCCTCTGTTGAGCTTACCCTTTGGTGAACATTCACCTGGAACACAGATATTTTTACATACTATGCCCATTTGAAGAGGTCCATCAACCTACCTTTTCACCAGATTTCCTTGTCACCAATTTCTCAATTATGTTCCTTCCAAATCTCTGACCATACAACCAAATAGCCCATGAATTAGTGTCGACTTGTACTTCTGGACATTTATTCTTTGAAGCAAAATGAATGACCAGGAACATTGCTTGAAGCTCTGCAAACTAGGCCCAAGATTGTTATCCCTTTACTGGCTTGTCATAAGAAGCTCTCCAAGGGTCATAGGTGTAAGTTGAGAGAAAGAAGGCAATGTAATAGGAGCAAGGGCCATAGATATGTAGGCCACTTGCTCATGCAACATATTTGTGCTTTCAGGCCTTGCTGAGGCCCAATTTTCTATCTACCACTTCCATTTGGTCAGAGAGTCCTGCTGTGCATACTCAACTTTATGGCCTGGTGACTCAGACGACACTAGTAATGGGCAGCTCAGGTCATAAGGTAATTTGGTAGCCCATGGTCAAACATTCAGTCTCTACCAAGGCCCAGTAATAACATAAAAGCTATTTCATAAAAGAAGAATCATTACCTATAAAGAATGGCAGCGCTTTCTTCCAAAATCCTAAGGGTCTGGTCTGTGCTTTACCTATGGGAGCCTGGCAAAGGCTTTAAACAGCCTTTCTTTCTGTTACTGACATTTCTAGCACCATTGGCTCTTCTGGATCGTGTGGTCTAAGTGGCAGAGCTGCTTCCAGAGCAGTCTGGACTTACGGAGCCTTCTCTTGTTCTGGTCTCTACTTGTGGGGTGCCTCACCATGCCTCAGACTCGATATTTGTGGGGTTTATTTTCCACTCGTGGTGTGCAAATGTCTTACCACTTTATCTAGAGCAGTTTGTACTTTTTAATTACCAGAGAAGGAATCAGAAAAGCTGAAGGAGGATCCATGGGAAGATGAAACAGCTGCAAGCCTGGCCACTGCCCACACCAAGGAAGTAAGCCAGCAGATAAGCCACAGTGTTTGGGGGGCGGCCAAAATGTGGCTGCTGCTTCCCCTCTACCCTCCTGTCTCCCACAAGAACCTCTCCCTGTAGCTCACCTTACCCAGAAAGATATAAGAACATGAATTCTGGGTAATGTAGTTCATCCTAGCCAAGTTGACATATTACACACTACATACTCAACTTATGATCTACTACTATAGGATGGAGAATCCAGTTTAAAAAAAAAAAAAAAAAAAAAAAGCAGATGGCCTATCTTGGCATGATCTTGTTTCCTGAAGAATTCATCTGACAAAATTTTTTCCTACCTACATGACTTTGATTCCATAGAATTTGTGTGTATGTTCTAGCTCTGGGGAGATGATCAAAAGGGAGCTGTTTCCAGAAACATATTATTTTTTAATAAATAAATTCTTAACAGTGTGAAAATATATTCACAGTTTGAGTGTATTATTTATCAATTGCTTTTCCAGAGAGACTAAAATTTGCTTAGGTTTGAGGGTTTTTAAAAAATATTTAATCTTCAAAGTATTAGCATTTACTTTTAAGTTAAAAAGTATGCTGTGGGCAAACAGCAATGTGATATGCTTTCGCATTGTAGCAAAAAGAACATCTCAACATTTGCTCTCCAGGCTTCTTGGAATGCAGTTCACTGTGGTGCTGTAGGTGACCATAGTGTTTCCAGAATTGATTGTTCGGAAAGAGCAGGATATCCCAAAGTGCTTACCTGTTCCTCTGAGAAAGCACTAATTTTCCTTTGTTTCTTTGTTTTGTTTCTATAAACCATCTAAGAGAAGGCTGATGTCAACTTTTGTCTCAAAATACGTGAATCTATGAGTTTCTCTCAGAAAATGGTAAGATCATTGCTCTGTGCAAGAAAGGAGGGTGTATGTAAGGAGTATGTGACAAGCTTTGCAGTGACTTGAAGGACAGATTTCACAGGAGAGAGTAGCTAAAGAAAGAGACACTAAAGTGACACTAAAGGGAAGGTGATTTTCAGATCCACCCTTCCTTATCTCCAACCAGTGCATGATTTCCTGATGAAACCATTTGTCCACCCGACAGTGCTGTTGTTTCTAAAAATTCCTACCACAGAATAACAACTGTCAACACCTGCCTCAGACATAGGAGTAGGGAAGACTGCAAGTGGGAGAGAGACTTAAACACACAAACCTTTTTAGGAACAAAATCACTCATATCAGCTGATCTGCGGAATTAAAGGAGTTTTTAAAGTATGTGGTATTCTTTGACATAGTATTGGCAGAATAATCATTTAACAAATGTCACTGGTGGATGAATTAAGAAAAAAAGGTGTCACGTTGGCTCTTCATACAGACATTTGGCAAATAATTGGCACTAAAGGGATTCTGATTTCTTCCCCTGCCATTTTGATCTTTCAAGTTTTAAAATAGCAAATAACATTGGTCCTTAGGGTTGGTGCGTGTTAGAATCACAATGGACAGAGACCCTGAAAAACTCTACAAAAGAGGGAGGAACAGAACTGAATGGAAAAAACGTTATGGAAATTTTCCACCCATGGATGGGACACACCCTCATGCAAACAAAGCTTTGGGGCGAAGACTATATTTTATAAAAATGTGATAAAACACTTGCTAAGCCCTGAGGGGATGAACAATGGTTCTTTTTCTTTTTATTTTTTTTTATCCTCCAAAATTCAGTGTCACATGCTGAGCAGTTGAAGGGAAAGGCCTTTTGTCATATCTGTTTCCAAACATCTATTTCCTTTCTGGAGCCCCAGAAGTTTGAGTTGCTGTCACAGTGAGGGGCTCTCTTGTGTCAGTCACTCTGATTCTGTGTCCTTGTCCTAACTAGGTTGTCTGCCAATGCTAACTGGCCAGCTCTGACAGGAGGTGCTTGGCCCAGGAGGAGTCATCAGGGCAGTTCTCTGGGCTACTGCTGTGTCTCCAGCTCTGCAGTTTGCTCTGCATCACTCAGCGGCAGACGGAGAGGCAGCTGCAAGCCCCTTGTGAGATTTCTTCCTTGCCGTCATCTCACGATGCTCTGTAATAAGGAGGCAAATGGCTGAGGTCCCCTCATTTGTATCTTGCTTCCCTCCCCAGTGCCTCTTCAAACCACTTTGTCAAAAACAACAAGAACGAAACAAAAACAACAACAAAAAGATTCTTGTGTTCATGATACTAAAACAAAATTGCTTCAGCTCTGTTGCTTAAGATTAAGCACTCAAAAAATGTCGAAGGTGGTCTTAAAAATCTGGCTGTGGTTAATGGGATCAGCTGCATTTTTCTTTAAAATCATGTGACCCATCTCCTCCATTTTACTTTTGCATTTGACTTTCCAACTTCCATGCGAAGGAACAGCATGTGGTTTACTTGTGGTCATATTATATGTTACTTTGGTGCTTTACAACTTTCAAAGAGCTTTTATGCAAAAGTGATATCATCAGATCCTCAGATAACCCTGTGATGTGGGTAGGTTGATGGATACACTATCATCATTTCCCATATGAGGAAAGAAGAGTAAATAAGTTACACAACATGGACGAGGTCACCCTGCACTTCAGAGGTGGAACCAAATTCCAACAGAAGCATTGAATTTCTAAACGAGTTTTTGTTTGTTTTTTATCTTTTCCATCACACCAAGCCACCTCTGTGAAGGAAAATTGCATGCATCTCCCTAACCCAACATTTTTCATGTTAAATGTCCACTAAATTATAGTCACAATTTGGTAGTCTCAGTAGTTCTTCTTGTTTGAAGACAACTTTTTCCAAATTTCCGTATTTTTTCTACGACTTTATCATTTTCTTCTCTACCCAGAATTCCATACTTAACATTCGCAACAACACCCTCTTTTATCTTTCTTCTTTCTTCTCTCTCTCTCTCTTTTTTTTTTCTCCCTTTGTCTGTCCTCTTTTTCTGTCTGCCTTTCTCTGCCTCCTTTTTGTGTGTTTATTTTTTGTTTTGGTTTTAGAGACAGGGTCTTGCTATGCTGCCTGGGCTGGTCTCAAACTCCTGGACTCAAGAAATCCTTCTGCCTCAGCCTCCCAAAGTGCTGGAATTATAGGCATGAGCCGTCATGTCCAGCCTGGTTTTGTTTATTGATTGCATACTGAAAGTAACACATGACTGGAATATAAGAGAACTAAGTTTGAGATATTATAATTTCACATAACCTGTATAGGTCTCTGTTGTTTTATCTGTAAAATTGCTTTTCATAAAATAATGATGTTCTACACAAGTGAAGAAGAGAGAAGTGAAAATGGGATTTTTGTGCTAATCAAAAATAACATGTGGTCAAAAAAATTGAGGGCTACCTAATTTGTAGATTTTCTCATTTTAAGTAAGAGATGATAGGATCAAATCCAGGTCCTCTGTCTACAAGTCAAATATTTAGTGAGTTGCTGGGTGCAGTGACTTGTGTCTGGAGAGGCTGAGGCAGGAGGATCACTTAAGTCCAGGAGTTTGAGGCTACAGTGAGCTACGACTGCTCCACTGCCCTCCAGCCTGGGTGACAG